AGAGAGCACATTGGCCAAGCAATGGCTGTGACTCATCCACATGGCTGACACTGACAAAGGTTCTACAATCTGAGGTACAGGATCTCAGGATAAATCCTAAGGGGATTTCACTGCCTTTATCAGACCCAAAAGCTACAACTTTTGTTGCATAGGTCCTGCTTTACCTTGGTCTTAACCATCGAGCAGAAAAGTATAAAAATGAAATATAAGAAGTAAAGCCATGCTGTATGTTGAGCTATAGGGACTCAGGTCAACGATTTCTGACATTGCCAGTCAAGTGGAAGACCCAATACTATTATGGGCTACTGGACTCTTTTAGAATATTTTACTGAGTTTACACACCTATAATATTCAAATAACGAACTTAACAAAAAAAGGGCATACAGATGAATGTCCATTTTGTATCTGTGTATTCAAAATGGTTACAATAGATAGATAGTTACATTCTCTTAATGAATAGAGTGATTTGTTCTAATGGTGTTTGTAAATAGGATATCATGTCCGCATCTTGCACAGTAATTAACCACTAGGAAAAATGTATGCAATGTGTGAATTACTGAAACTGTCCTACCAATTTGACTTGAAACTGTCTCATTGCTATTTGTTTATCAATAAAATTATGGGAAAAAACAAAAATGAACATGTATAGATATATACAAACATATTACCTTTTCTTAAAAATGGAATATGATCATCCTGAATAATGCCACCAGAACCAAAATTCTGGAAATATTTCCTCTCCAAAGAGTGATCCTTGAGAAAACCCAATTCATGGAGTTCATGTTCTGCAGATGAAAATTAGACGGTAGATGAACACCTATTTTTTATCTTATTATCTTATCAGTATATATCCTTATTTAAAAGTTAGAAATCTTAGCACATATGGACATCATGTTTTAAGTATTATGCAGGAATACGTCCATTCTCATGACAATAAACATCTGAACTTAAGTGGTATATAGATTTTGGAGTAGGAAGAGAGAAGATTCACATATGCCTCTTGCCTTATGGTGACAGTTCTACAGAGGTAGAAATTCGACAGAATAATAGAAAGATAAAAAATGAGAAATGGTGCAGGGATGGGGAGTGTAGCTGTAGATGCTTATAGGTCCAGATCTTGCATGAAGAACATGTAACCAGGAGAAATGGGGAATACTCAGACAGAATAAGATGAAGTAGACCATCCGACCACTCTATGAAAAAGGGGTACCTAATGTGACTACATCAGTGCTCCTCAAAGTAAGGGATTGTTTATTTGTTTTGTCTTTTTGAGACAGGGCCTCACTATGCAGTTCAGGCTGGCCTTGAGCTAATTCCCAGCCTGGTCCTGAACTCTCAAAAACCTTCATACCTCAGTCTCCCAAGTGCTGAGATTGTAGGTGTATGCCCCCACTCCTAGTAGCACAAAATAAGGTTCTTTTTTTTGTATTTATTTATTTGATACATGGTCTTGATGAGCAGTTCAGACTCGTGGTGATCCTCCTGTCTCAGCCTTCCCAGCACTGGGATTATAGGCATGCACCACCACATCCAATTTTGGTGGCCAACACAGCATGTAGTACCAGGGGTCAAACCTGGGTCCTTGTATTTGCCAGGCAGGCACTTAGATGCTGCGCTATCTCCCCAGTCCACAAGGTATGGTTCTCAACCCACAGCCTGAGGCACCACCTGGGAACTAGCTAGAGATGTAAATTATTTGTTCCCAATGCAGACCTACCAAGACAGAACTCTAGGAAATCAGTCATCTTAGCACTTTAGGAGATTCAGGTGTACAATAAAGTTTGAGAATCACAGTCCTGTATTCCATCATTCTTGTCATCTTGCAATATATGATCCACATGTTACATATAACCCAAGGGTTCTATATTACAAGATGACAAAAGATACAAGATTAGGGTAGCTGTGTTGCTTGCTTTGTTTTGTTGCTGTGCTGGGGCTTGAATCCAGAGTTTCATGCATACTAGGCTAGCATTCTATCACTAAACTATATCCCCAGTCTGCAAATGTTTTTTAATTGCTAAATCTAAAGGTGAAAAGTAGATTAGCTAGCAAACAAGCATATGTAATAGAGTCTTGGGACCATTGGAAGGCTGTAACCACCACCAAAACAATATTCCTGCCTATTGATATCTGTAATTTTTATCATAGGATATAATTTTGCCTCACTCATCAGAGATATCAGCTGAAGTGCAAATACCAAGAGGCAGTGCAGCACAATGTGTCAACATTACCGTAAACTACAAGTTATTGATGTATGTTTGTGCTGGCACAAAACGAAAGAAAGAAAAGTGTGCAAAACACTTGAAGGAAGGCAACTCAGTTTCTGGAGGATTCCATGAAAGTCAGGAAAACACGCTACAAGAAGGAGGCCCAAGAGCTTGGTGTTAATAATGCCATAATAGCAATTATTTTAAACTACAAATTGAAATTTCTCAAAGACAAGCATCTGATATTCATGTCAAAGTTTCTCCCACATGAATTCAGAGCTGAATATTGGCAAATTCTTAATTCATGACAAAGGTGTAAGCTAAGATGGCACAGTGTTTTCCACGGCTCAAAATATGACTCTGTCTTGTCCAACAAAATGTGTGTATCATGGGGAATTTCTAGTACAAACTTCTTGCCTCACAATCAGCCTCATAATCTAGATTCTACAATAAAAATTCACCTCATTTTCTCCTTTTCCTGATACCTCAGGGGTCTGTTTTATGATCCATAGATACCTGTGTTTCTTGTCCTGGCCCAGCCTAGTCTATTCTAGCCCACCCTTATCTATTTAACTCTAAATTTTTTCCAAGTAGCTCTGGACAGATCTTTTTCCTTGCTTCCTGATCTCTTACTTCTTTGAAAAATTACTAGAGATAGATTGTACTGAAAAGAAAATAACATCCGGGTAAGATAGAACATAGATGACTAGGGCTGGTGAGATGGCTCAGTGGTCTAAAGTACCTACTTAGAACAAGCTTAGCAAATCACAGGGACCGCGGTTCAATCCCCCAGCACCACATGCCAGCCAGCCGCGCCCCCTGGTGGGCTGAGCTGGCCACACACATAAATAAATAAGTTAGAAAATAGATGACTAAAGATGGAAAAGAATGAAAACAAATTCCTTTTGGTGTCACTATAGCATTCATCATTAGTTACATACTTTGCTGGGAAAACTTTTCCCTAGAAATCCATTCTATGTGTATTAGACAGCACTCTGGGGAAAATATTTTTCCCCATTATTCCTAAGGATGTGCAAGTGTAAAATGTAATATTTTATGTTTCCATTCAAAATATGATTTTGTGCAGGAAAGTAAACTGGGTCAATTAAGAGATAAATAAAACTGATAAGCTTATCAATAGGCCAAGCCAAAAAATGCTAGTAAAGTATATAACATGTTTAAGCCACACATGAAAAAAAAATAATTTTTAAATTTTAAAATGTAGTACTTGTCAGCAGGAAGAACCCATACTTCATTTTCTAGTGACATAGGTGCTTACCAATTGCCTGAAGTCTATTAAACCATCTCGCCGTGTTTGGAAAAAAATTGGGAAATGTTGGATTTGGAGCTCCAAGTAAATCCAACAAGACCAATAAATCCTAAGGGAGAAAAAAGTGGTTTAATCACACTCACAAAGGCATGTTTCATATTCATCAAAAGGGAAGAACAATCAGTCAAAACTACATCTTAATAATTGAGAACAATTTGGAGAGTTGTATACAAGAAGAAAAAGTTGGCAGCATTTTATGTTAATTATTTTAGAGAATTTTGAAAATCTTTCTTAGGCAATGTGAATAATAGGCAAGGTGATGATTTTTTTGTGTATGTACCCCCTAAGACACAACACTAAGAATAAATTCAAAAGGGACATTTGGATACATGCTTCATAGATTAAAGAAGAATGCTTTCTTTTCAGATGGGAGTTGAAGCCTGTCTGACGTTTTGTTTATTCTAATTAGCCACTTCACCCTTAATATGTAATGATACAACTGTCTATAGAAGAGCTCTTGGAAAGTAATTATTGGTCATGCTACACATAACAAAAATTCCTTGCAAATGGGAATATAATATTGTGTCCCTGGATCTCCATTTTATTGTATATCAAATGAAGAGCTCAAACATTTGAGCTCTAAATCTTTTTTTGGTTATAAGCTCCTAAAATTAAACTGGAATACCTTAATTTACCTAAACCATAAAATATCAGTGAACTTTTTTTTTCTACAGTTTTATTGATAAACATATAGCAATGAGACAGTTTCAAATCAAATCGGAAGTACAGTTTCAACAAATAATACACTGCATATATTCTTCTTAGT